GTCTTCTTTCAAGGCTAAGATAGAGTTCACTGCTGGAATGACTGACTGCCTTTGTTTTGCCTCTGTATCTCTACTCACTGGACATCACAAATGGTAGAAAAGGGGACCGCTCTTTGGTTTGGGGCCCAGTCTGATGTTGAGCCTTTCTAGTGGCTGGGATGGTGCACCATTAAAGTGCTCCCGAAAATCCCTTCTGTTCTCTACAGTTTCTTGGAAATTCCACAGCAATACAAGATGCAAAGCCAGTAGATACTTCATCATTCTTTGGCCTCACCCAGGGCCATCATATTTTGTTTGCAAAACACATGTTAAAATGGACTCGCCTGTTTGGAACCTTAGATGCCAGTAGTCCTAGACTCATATTCAGCGCATCATAGTTAAAGATGACATATCCTCTGGCAGAAGAACTCAAGAGAACCCTAACATTTATAACAGACTGCCAGATGTGTCCCCAGATGATCGATTGCACAGGGAGGACTCTGAGCTACATCTTCCTCTCCTCCTTCTCCCACTCTCCTCTCTCTCATCCTTTTTATCTCCCAGGGTCTGTCACACAATGAAAACCACAGTTGTCTTGCCACGTCGGATTCCACTCCATGCCACTCCAAGACTGACTTCAGCCTCCTCGTATGTCCTATCTTTACTGTTCTTCATCATATGCTCTGCTCCCAGCTAACACCCACCTCAATAGCTGTTCAATTAATTAAACAATAAATTGTATTTTTCTCTGAACTCTTACCTTCTTTTTGCCAGTGGAATCTATTTACAGGAACTAGCATGTGATCATCTAAAATGTAATAATTTTCTGAGTGGCTAAATAAATGCTAATGGTTAATGTTGTAACTACACAGCAGATTAATTTTTACTGATAAAAACCCAGTTATAATTTTAGCTTTCTAACGAAACTGTGAAGTAACATTAAGTAGTTACTGGCTATCAAAACATTACTATTTCAATGTTTATTGAACATTTCAAATAGCTGGCCCCAACCTTTTTGGCACCAGGGGCCAGTTTCATGGAAGACAATTTCTCCATGGACAGCAGAGGGTGAGGGGGGCTGGGGATGGTTTCCAGATAGTTCAGTGGAGACCACAACCCAGACCCCTCCCTGTGCAGCTAATGGTGAGGACTGGGCTGAATATGTGGACCATTTTGGGTAGAGCTGTCATTTTACCAATATGAAGTCTTTCAATCCACGAACACATGATGTCATTCATTTGTCTTTGTTGTCATCTCTAATTTTTTTCAGCAGTGTTTTGTGATCTTCACTGCACAGGTCTTTCTTAATTTCTAAATGTGTCATTCTTTTTTTTTTTCTTTGGTTTTTCTCCGGTACCGGGAACCGAACTCACGACCTTGCGCTTGCCAGGCAGGCGCTTTTGCCGCTGAGCTAAATCCCCAGCCCCTAAATGTGTCATTCTTTATACAACTTTCACAAAGAGAGATGTCTTCTTTTCCCTTTCACATTGTTCACTGTACAGAAATGCAACTGATTTGGTGTGTTGGCTTTCTGTCCTGTTACTTTTCTGCATTGGTTTTTGAGTTCTAACAAGCGTTTCTGGTGGAAGAAGGAGGGATCCTTAGGGTTTCTTTCTGTATATGATCATATCGTCTACTGACAGGGATCATTTTCTAGCTTCCTCTCTAATTGGGAAATTATTTCTCCTTCTTGCCTAGCTAGTATGGCTGGAGCTTTCAGTACTATGTTGTGTGAAAGTGGGCATCTGTTCCTTGTCTCTGATCTCTGAGGAAAAGCTTCTGCTTTTCACCACTGAGCATGGTATTTGCCTCTTGTTATGTTAGGGTAATTTCCCTTTGTTCCTAATTTGTTGAGTGTTTTTTATCATAACAACAGGTTGAATCTTATCAAATCCATTTTCTGCATCAGTTGAGATGACTGTGGGGCTTTTTCTTCATTTTATTAATGAGGTGCATGACACTGATCTGTTTTCATACATGGAACTATTCTTACATTCCAAGAAGAAATCCCACGTGGCCATGTTGTCCAATCCTTTTGGTTGCTATTGAATTCAGTTTTCTAATATGTTGTTCACAGGGAATATTGGTCTGCAATTTTTTGTTGTGTATCTGGCTTTGGTATCCTGGTAATGCCAGCCTCAAAAATAAATAAGGATTTGTTCCTTCCTCTACAGGACTTGGGAAAACTTTGAGAAGGGTGATGTGAGTTCTTGAAATGTACATTGGAATTTACCAGCACAACCGTAAGTCCAAGGTTATTCTTCATTGGGATTTTTTTTTATTGCTGACTCAAAATGTCCATGAGGGGCTGGGGATTTAGCTCAGAGGCACAGCGCCTGTCTGCCAAACAGCAGGCAGTGAGTTACATTCCCAGTACAAAGGAAAAAAAAAAAAAAAAAAGGAAAGAAAAAAAATGTCCATGAGTTATTTTATGTAAAATATTTTATAAAAGTAGTATGAGTTATTGTATATTCTTATTGTGCTGGGAACCGCGGATAAAATTTGGGTGAAATATAGTCCTTGCCAACAGAGTGCCCATGCTGGGTTACACAGTGAGGGCCCTCAGCCTGTTCCTCGCCTTTTCCATTTTCATGTCTTAATTTTCTAATATTATTGTTAGAAGGCACAAGCTTGAAGTGTGATCTGAAAGTATTTATCAACTGCTTAAAACCTGTCCTCATACCCGTGATCCAATAACTTTATGTGTACTATCCACAAAGAAATAACAAGCACAGAGTGTATTTAACAAGTTGGCCTCTCCATTGCTATTCATAACAACTACAAAATATTAATATCCAACGCTAAGAACAAACCTGACTGAACTGTACTATCCTCATCATATGGATAATTAATGCAGTCACAAGCAGCCAGGCATTTAAAGAAAAGGGCATATATTCAATTTGTATTTTCAGGTTAAAGAAAAGTTACAGAAGCAATATGACCAATAACATCACAGAGTTAATTTTAATTACCTACGGGTAGTCAAATAAACAGTGATTGAAAAAAATAGCAGAATGATAGCAGCAAACTCTACCTAGTGGGGGAGTTATTTTTCCAATTTTTAAAAGCTGTTTTGGTCTAGGTTTGCAGTACAGAATAATTACACACACCCACTCATGGTGGGAGTTGGGTACGTCCAGGGGGATTTGTGTTTTTAATTTACTCATTATAATGTTACATACTTCACAGATTTCCTCATCTTATATGAGAATATTTGTACCTTCTGCTTTAAAGAGTAAATCACTGAACCAGTGATTACAGACGAGGATTCAGTAGTAAAGTGAACTGGTTCACCAGGGCAGATGTCAGCTGACTGAGTCCTGTACAGAGAATGCACCTGACCTTCTGCGATGCTTCCATAACGAGTGTGGGGAATCTGCTTTTCCTAAGACGCCTTAGGAATGTGGCGATACAACTTTCAACCAAAAAAAAGAGCAAGCAGACAGGTAACAAGCTGTGGCAGCAGGTGTCACCTGCCGATGGAGCTTCAGTAAAGCTGGCTCCTGGAGCCATGCAGTCACATGAGATCAGTCTACCTGAGACACCGGGCATGATAACTCTCAAGGATGCTCTACACTGTACCAAGTTGCTCCAGAAAAGCATTCTACAGACAGCAACAAAATAGGCAAGCTTCAGTGCCCCCCACTTTCCATGGCTTTTCGCGACCACACTGATACACACTCACTGTGGAGGAAGGTGGTATTTATAAGAAAAGAGCCCTACAAAATCAGGAACCAAATTTATTCCCCTGGCCTGTGAATTCACAGAGCTCTCCAGAATACAAGAAGCCCTGAAGAAAGAACTCAAGCACGTCTTACACATCTGCTTGTGTGGTTGCTTTTTAAACCAGGGGAGTAGCCATCCCAAGGTGTCTACAGCATCCTGAGCCCATTCCCATAGCCAGGTTAAGAACCCTTCTCCTCTGGTCACATTCCCTGAGACTCCCTGAGGGATTCCCCAGCCCTCTCTGGTCTGGTTTACCATTGCCAACTATATCCTCCCCGAGCTAAAACTCTTCGTTATTGCTTTCATGCTCTTGCATGAAATGGCCTCAGTCTACCTGCCCAGCTAATTATTATCGCAGCCACGGAGCAAAACCCATTTTGGGCTCCTGACTTCCAGGACTCTAAGGTGACAAACTTGTGTAGTTTTAGGCCACTAAGTTTGTGGCCATTGTCCCAGAGCGGCCTTAGCTGCACAAAGCAATTGTTGCCTTCTGGCCGGGTGTTTGCCTCATCCCCTTGCTACCTTCTCTTCCAGCATAGCACGCAGACCCTGCCCACTATCAGCTGCGAGGTTAAGGAAAGCTGCTCACTCCCCAACGAGTTTGCAGAGTAGAGCCCATAACTCCACAGTACCACAAGTAAGAAAAGGAAGGAGCAAGTTGCAGGGGAGGATAAGCCAGCCAACAAGTACAGGAAAAAATAGAGCAGAAACACTACTTAACAAACATCACACTCACCACAAATTCACCTGACACCAAGGCATGCTAAAAATCAGTAAGGGGCGCAGGATGTTTCTACAATCTCAAAGTAACTGCTCCCCCCAGCAATATGATGTGTCCCAAAAGGAGAGAGAGACATTTGAGAGTGGAGACATGCCCCCACACTATCTTAAGCAAGTGACCACAATCACCACCCACAGGAGGGGGAGCTGCAACCACACAGCACCTGGCAGGACACAGGGAGCACCCAGCACAGCCGTGGTCACCTCTCCAGAGAGGCCTGGCCCACACTGACCACGGGGAAGCATCAGACAAACCCGAGTGAAGGGCGTGGTGCTGAGTAACTTGCCTGGGATCTTCAAACTGGTCGTAAAAGCCAAGGCCAGACTGAAACACAGCAATACATGAAGGGTACGAGGGAGTCCAACACAGGAATGCACTGTGATCCTCTGTGCTTTCCTGTCTGCTTATTTTTTAAAATAAAGCATATCCCTGCCCGACAGCTGGACAGAAAGGAGGTCTTTTGCCTATTCTTTTGACTCTTCTGAGTCCTTAACAGGTTTCAGGTTTTAAATACCTTTGCAGGGCGGTCACCAGTCCTGAACAGCATGTTCCACACCCTGTGCCGCTGTCCTCCTTCTGCCCTGCCATGCCCTGCAGACTGGCTGATGTTCAACAGCTCCGATCCTCAGCAGGCCAGAGCTTTCTCATTTCTTACTTTTACTTTTGTTCGTACTCTCCCTCCACCTCCTGTCCCTTCCAGAGCCTGTCTAGGTTTATACGCGACACCCGCTGAAGCCAATCCAGGTGCTGCTTCCTCAGTGAAGACGCTGGCCCTGCTCCTTCTATTGAGCTCAAAGTCCCCCATGCAGGCTTCCAGTCTGAGCAGTGGGAAGCATCCACATCAGGGCCATGGGCATGATCCCTGACCTCTTTGGACTCCACTCCTCCAACAAGGAAACCAAAATAATTGACCAATGTCATAAGGGATGCCTTGAAAATCAGTGTGTGGAGTCACTTAAATATTGGGCAGTCAAGAAAAAGGAGGCTCAAAGATAAGACTGCATCTCTCACTCGTTGTGATGGCTAAAACACAAAGACAGACAAGGGCTGGTGAGGAGCTGGAGGATGCTCATGCTCTGCCCGAGGCATTGCAAACTGGGCAGCTCCTCAGTCACTCAGATGTGGACTCACTACATCGCCCAGCAATTCCACTCCCACCTACAAGCACAAGCGAACTGAACCACACACTTGAGCACAAATTTCTATGAAGAAACATCCTTAGCAGCGTTATGCAGAGGAGTCCTGAGGGGGAAATAACCCAAGGGCCCATCAGCAGATGAGCGGAGGAGCAAAGTGTGGCTCAGCCCTTCAGTGCAACAGCTTTGAAAGTAACAACAAATGCCACTGACATGTGCTAGGATTGTGAATGAGCCGCAAAGAAATGAAGCTCAGCAAAAGAAGCCGGACACAAGAGGCCAAATTCTTCTTCTCAGGAAATGTCTAGCATGCGCACATCTGTAAAAACAGGAAGCAAATTAATCATTGTAGAGGGCTGAGAGAGATAGAGAATTGGGGAGTAATCACCAAATACTGTGAACTTCCTTTTGGGGTGATGACAATGTGAGAAAGTTGAAGGTGGCAATGGTTATACAACTTTATAACTAGGATGAAAGCCACTGAATCGCACTCTGTAAATTGATGAATTGGATGGCATGTAAGTTATACTCACTAAAACTTACATGAACTAAATAGATCCCTTCCTTCTATTTGGTTTTACTCTTTGATTCTCTACATTCGATTATGTAAACAACCAAGCACATGTTTGCTGATCTGGATCTGTGTTCACGGGCAGCCCGGCATCCAGTGTGAATCACAGACTCCTTTGGAGAGGTGCGCCATGCTTCTCAGGGATGTCCTTCCTGGAGACATGAGCTTGCTGTCATTCATGTGCTCTGATAGCCATCAAGACTCCACATAGCCTTCCGTCCCCAAGCCCAGCCCCCAGGGGGCTAGGAGAGGGTCAGGGTCTTGGCATCAGCTACAGAACAGAATTTCTGTACAAGGCTGAGGGGGAAACAGTCTTTTGAGAGTGTTTAAACTGGTAAACAAGGCTCTCTGAGCAAGGCAGAGGACTGGAAATTCACACACATACACAACAGTCAGAATTATTTTTTAAATAGTAAAGTAACTGAAGAATTATAACTGAAGAATTGTAACTTCAAAGAGTCAAACTAGCTGAATAAAGGATCACTTTTTTCCTGGTAAAAATTGAAGACAACTTCTTCAGTATGAAAAAGGTCTTTTACACATACCCACAAAAATATCATGCTTGATAGTGAAAGATTGAAAGTTTTTCCCTAAATTAGGAGCAAGAAAAAGATGTCTGATCATCTCACTCCTATTCATTGGTGCATGGAAGGTCTAGATGGGTGAACTGAGCAATAAATAAAAGGTTTCTAGAGGAAGAAGTAAATATCTCCAGATGTAGATGCCATAATTTAGCATGTAGACAATTCTAAGGGTCCTCTTTTAGAGCACTATTAGAGCTAATAAATGAAAACACCAAAGTTGTAAAACATAAGGTCAATAGTAGAAGCCAACTGTATTTCTGTATTAACAATAAACTATACAAATATGAAATTCAGGAAACAATTCCATTTATTATTTCATAAGAAAGAATAAACCAGACAAAACAAGAAAACTATAGACCATTATTTCTGATGAATAAATATACATAGAAAAACACTCAACAAAATACTAGCAAACTGAGTCCAACAAGACTATAAAAGATTTCACACCATATATAACAAGTGGATTTTTTCCCAAGAATGCAAGGATGGTTCAACACAAGGAATCGATGTAATGATCTCAGTAACAGTACAAAGAAGAAAATATTTTGCAACTCCAGAGATGCGAAACAAAGCACTGGAAAAAATTCAACACCCTTTCATAATTAAAAATAAAGGCTCAGAAAATTAGAGATAAAGGGAAATTTCCATAACATCATAAAAGACACTTACTGAAAATCCACAACCAACAACATATTCAGTGGTAAGAGACTGAGACTGACATTTTTTCCTGTAAGATTAACAACAAAGCAAGAGAGCTTATTTTCACTACTTCTGTTCAACATTTAGTGGAACCCCTAGACAGATATACTAGGCAAGAAAAAAATTAAAGGCATCCAAATTGGAAATGAAGAAAAGAACCTATCTCTTTTAGTAGATGTTATGATTTTATGTATTAAAATCCTATCAAATCCACATACAAAGAAAACCACAAGATAGAGCTAATGAACTAGTTCAGTAACACTGCAGAGCAAAAAATCATGCACAAAATCAAATATATTTCTTTGCGCCCACAATAAATAATTCCAAAAGTCAAAAAATAAAACAATTCCATTTATAATAGCATCTAAAAGACTAAATTGCTTAGGAATAAATTTAATCAAACAGTTGAAAGATCAGTAAAGTGAAAACTAGAAGACACTGATGAAATGAAGAATTATACAAAGAGAAGACCAAACATATCCATGGACTGCTAAATTTAATGTTAAAATGGCAATATTCTCCAAAGATTCAATACAATGCTTATCAAAATTCCAACAACCATTTCTCCAAAAATGAAAAGGCTACTCCTTCAAATCTTATGGCCCCAAATAGACAAAAGTCTTTAAAAAGAAGAACAAGGTTAGACAGTGCACAGTTTTCTAATTTCAAAATTGATAGGAAATCTCAGTCAAGCCCAGTGGAGGAGTAGAACTAGGAGTTCAAACATAAATTTAAATATTTATGGTAAAATTATTTTCAAAAATGCTGTCAAGACCACTCAAGGCAAAAGACAACAAATGATGCTGAGAAAATGGATAATCAGATGCAAAAAAATTAAATTGAATCTCTACCTCATTTTATAGGCCAAAATTGAATAAAAATGAATTCACCACATGAATTTGAGTAAAACTACAAAATATGGAGGAAAAAAACATAGAAGTAAATACCTTTGACTTCTCACTTGGCATGGAATCTTAGATTTAACACCAAAAGCAGCAAAAGAACAAAATAAGTAAATTACACACCAAAATTAAAACTGCTGTGTATCAACGGATGATGTGACTTAAATGTGATCCATTTCTTCCTATACATGCTCAGCCACTGCTGTCTACATAATGTGACCCAGGCCTTACTAGACCTGAGCTGACACAGGTATCATGCTCTTGAGCCTCCAAAACCATGAGCTAAGTAAACCTTTTATCTTTACAAAGTGAGCTACCATCAACATTTTATTACAATAACATAAATCTGACCAGTACAGAGGACATGATCAAGAATATGAAACTGCAGCCCAAAGAAAGAGAAAAATCAATTTCCAAGTCATCCATCTTATAGAAGTTTAAGGTCTGAAAAACATAGGAAATTCTTTGATAAGGATAATAGGGAAATAAAAGTAGTTAAATATTGAAATAAATAATAAAACAATCCAATTTAAAATAGGCAAAGGAGTTGAATAGACATTTCTCCCAAGAAAATATAAAAATGGCTGAAAAGTACATATAAAGATGTTCACCATGATCAGTCAGTAAGGAAATGCAAATCAAAGCCACAGTGAAACACAACTTCACAGGCACCAGCATGCTCTTACTCAAGAAAACAGAAAATAGGAAACACTGGCAAGGATACGGACAACAGAAAACCTTGTGCGTTGCTGGTGGGAATGTGAAATGGTGTAAAAGCTTAGGAAAACAGTTTCTCAAAATATTAAACATAGCATTATCATGTGATTCAGCAACTGCACCCATAGGTATATGCTAAAGAGAAATGAAGACATATGTACACATAGAAAATTGCATGTGAATTCTTATAGCAGTATTATGTATAACATCTAAATGGTACAAATAAACCACATGCCTATCAAAAGACTGGTGGATAAAAAAACTGTGGAATAGAATATTATTCAATCATAAAAAAGGAATGAACTACTGAAACGTGATATAATTTGATGAACCTCAAAAACATGATGCTAAATGAAGAAAGATGGACAAAGAAAAGTCAAATGATATGTGGCCGCTTTTACGTAATAAATCCAGAATTGACAAATCTACAGAGGCAGAAAATTTATTAGAGGCTCCAGGCGAATGGGAGTGGACTGACTACTTAACAAGTGCGGAGTGTTTTACAAGGTAATAAAAACATTCTAAAGCTAAGAGAGCTGGTGTTTGTGTAACATTACTGAATATGACTGAATATGTGCTAAACATTACTGAATTATGTGCTTTCAAATGGTTAATTGTATGCTATGAAAATGTCACCTCAATTTTCAGAAAGAATAAAATATTCACTAGTAAATGTTTTTAAGTGAAAGACTTATAGACTGAAAACTACAATTATCATTGAAAAAAATTAAAGAAGGCTAAATAGATGGAAAGAGATCTCACATTCACAAGATTAAAAGAAAAATACTGTAAAAGTGGCAATATTCCCCCAAATGATCTACAGCTTCGGTGCAATCTCTTTCCAAATCCCAGCTGGCTTTTAACAGAGCTTGACATCCTTTTTAATTCTGGGACTCAAAAGAGCCAGAAACAATCTTGAAAGAGAACAGTGCTAGGAAACTCAGTTTCCAATTTTGAAATTTACTACAACGGCAGAGAAGTCAGGATAGGATGTGAGTGGTGTAGAAACAGATATACAGACTCACAGAACAGAATTAAAAATGTAGAAATAAACCAGTTCTACAATTTTCAATAAAGGAGCCAAGAACAATCTTTGATAACCTTAGGCCTTTCTTAGACGCCATAAGCCTATTGATGGCTGGACTCAGGACACCTCATTCCTGATAGGCAACACACAGCCTTTTCAGACTCACACAGCAGCAAGAGCCATGGACAGGAACTTGAGCACTGAGCCAGCCCCAGGTCGGAGAAGGCAAGCCGGAAGCAGCAAGGGGTTGCTTCACAGAGGAACCGGAAGGAGCAGCTCTGGGCTCTGAGCTATGGCCAAGCATTCTGAGACCCAGGGACCATCCCATCTCACGCTTGACAAGCATCATTCAAAGTTAGCTTTAGCCCACTTACAGAGAAACAGGACAGCTGACTAACTCTGTTTGTGTGTCAAAATCAGAATTTAAGGTGCTAACTATTTCCAAAAACTATTCGTGGTGAAATGGATACTTTTAATAGTTTGCAAATTTTTTTGCTTTGTTTGACTCCCTTATTTCAGTTATTGATTTTTTTCACTACATTAAAGAATTTAATGGGAATATTTCTTAGAATTTGTCTATCCTTAAAGAGAAAAAGATTTAAAAACAACAAAACTCCAAAATCATTCAAATTAAAAACCAAACAGCTATTCACTTTGGATGGCAGATACCTTATTCTACATTTCTTCCTACACATTATGTATTGAAAGAAAACAACTTTCTCTTTGAATGCTCGTTTGTAAAATGCTGATTACTGGGATTACAGCCATAATGTCTAATTTTTTTATGGTTATGGGGGTCACACCCAGGGTCTCAAGCATGTAAGGCAACACTCTACGACTCAGAGACATCTCCATCCCTAATTTAATTTTAACTTCATCAGCAGAGAGACTTTACTGAGAAGGTCTCTGAATATGTCTTGTATTTTTGTAATAAAAAGAAACTGACCAGAAAGAGCCATTATTTAAATGTTTAGTTAGGCTATTAAGTTGGTTTGTTGAAAGAGATCAGAAAAATCTAGGCGTCTGTAAAGTTAATTCTCACTTCACAGATTTCTATATCTTATTTTTTGCTCTAACTGTAAGTATATTTAATATTCTTATGGTTTGATTAATTAATTAAAGTATAAGATTAATATACCTGGTAATAGCTAGTTCAGAATGTAAATTCTCAGCAATAGGATTCACTGAATGGGACAAGAATTTTTAGCTACTTTTTTTTTTTTTTTTTTTTTCCTCCATTTGTTTTTTAAGTTTTTCCTCCGGTACCGGGAACCGAACTCACGACCTTGCGCTTGCCAGGCAGGCGCTTTGCCGCTGAGCTAAATCCCCAGCCCCTAGCTACTTTTTTTTTAATGGCCAGTGAATACACCTGGGTAGCCACAGTCCATTCTCACTACAAAGAAGGTCATACCAAGTTAGGACACATCATGATTGACAGAACCAAGCACATCATTTTTATCATATACCTTGTGTGTTAGTTACTTTTTTTCTCATTACTGAGAAAAAATAAAGGAAAGGTTTATCTAGCTTACAGTTTGTGGAAGTTTCAGTCCATAATCAGCTGGCTTCAAGCAGGGTGGCATGGCAGAGAGGCAACAGTTCATGGTGGCAGAAGACAGCAAAAGCAACAAGAGCAAAAACGGGAGGAAAAAGCAAGCCTCTTTTCCTCCTTTATTTTGTAAGCAGGCTACCCATGCTAGAGCAAGGTAAAACCATCTCTGTGTCTTCCTCTTGCACAGGCTTAGGGTGTTTACAGAGTGAGGACCCTAGCTCCCTGCTGAGTTACTTAAAGTTGACACAATGAATCAACTATTACAACCTGGAGGATAAACAGCGGCCCCAGGGCATGTCCTCCACACCCTAGGATGTAGAACTGCTGAGTTACTTAGTCAAGCTTCTAAACTTCTCAAATTGACACAATGTATCAACCGTTACACCTTGTATTGAAATATGGCTTACCTAAACAAAAACAAAAATGAGAACAGCTCCTGACACAGAGGTGACTTCCAAGAAAACCTAACGTTAGTCCATTCTCCTGACCACACCAACCCACAGGCTGAATGTAAGGGCTACTGACATCACACCTTCAAACACAGACTCAACATTCAGTTCCATATCACCCCAAGCCACAAAAATGTCTGAGAGTCATGGCCATTCTGGACATCAAGAGACAAGGGAAAAGAACACTTCATAGCTACAGGGAATTACAATTACAGTGTATCCTCAAGCTATGACTGGCCTGACGGATGAACAACTTGGGTTACGACTAGCATTTTAGTTTTAACTTACCACCCAAGTCTTGAGTTATGACCCAAATGCTGGCTGCTTGTGCTTCCAGATGGCATCAAATACAGATGTAACCTTAAAGAGCTCTGGAGGGAACATTACAGCACCTTCCTGTATGGGCTGACTAAGAAATCCTGGGCCAGTGACTCTCTAAGGACACTGAGATCTGTCTGCACACAGGAGACTTTGAAGGCTGAGTAAAGGAGCCCGAGCCTTTGGCTGACAACCTGAATTACAACCAGGAATGCACTGAGTTCATAAGTCAAGGGTCTGCTGTAATTTTTCTATAGTGCTGCATTTGTAGCGGAATGACAAAACTTCTGTTTTACGTAACTTTCTTGAAATTTAAAAATACAAAACGATAAAAAATACAAAATGAAGGGGAGAAGGGTTGATTAGGGCTTATGTGGTCAGTGAAATCCGGAGTGAACATTTTAATAACTCTCTTCTACCAGTTCTTGCCATCAACAAGGGAAAGTATTAATGGGACAGTCTAGACTTTGATAGGACAGCCCAACCCTCCCCCCAGATGACTACATTCTTCCTCCCTGTCCTTCTCAAAGAAGCCAGAAAGAGTGTACTCGAGACACAGACGACAATTACTGCATACGTAGCTTCTCAGTGCACAGGGGAAAATCAGACCCCATTGACACACCACAGCCACAGCCACAGGCAGGGGCTCACCCCTCGCTCGGGCACATTATCAGGAAAGGCCACAAAAGTCATGTTTGCTGTAACCTCTTCCAAGTTTCAGACTGTTATTCAGGAAATCCTTATAACTCTTTCGATGTGAGTTAATGCTTCATAACATACATCTTCTCTGTGCTCCACAAGTGTTGGAATAATTTGCTCCCATGCCACCTGATTCCTTCTTTTAAAACTGTGACAGGCTGACTTCCACACTTTTCAGACTGAAAAAATAGATAATAGATGATAGATAGATAGATAGATAGATAGATAGATAGATAGATAGATAGATATGGCCACCACTTAACCTCTCTTCACAAAACTGTCTCCCTTCCAAACTGGACTAAATAGACTGACGTGCCCTGAACTCTTCCTATCGTTTCAGCAGATGCCTCCCTGGTAACATCTCATAGGATGGAAGAGAAGCCTCATTCAGCAATTCACGTGGGAGAGAAAGTTGTGAAAAGTCAGCCACTATATTCCCGTACGTTACTGTAAGAGCAAGAACAGCAACAGTACTGCAATGAAAGCGAATATTTACATCAAACAAACACACCAAACAGACAAACACACGAAAGTGAACCGCACACTAGTGTCTCACCAGTGATCGTGACACTCATCCCAGCTGTGGAAGTGCACTCACAGCTGGTCTCCCACAACACCCGCTATGGCGGCCGTGCACACCGGGCAAGGGTTCCTCCTGTCGGTGGCCTCCAGCCTCCTGCCAACCTGGATCTCCTTAATCAGCGGCCCATTCTAACAGCACAGGAATGGGAGGAGACACAGAAGGAAACAGGACACCAGCGAGGACTGAGCCACGGTCCACACTCTGTGATCAGAGACCTTGAGCATTCTGCCCTCTCTGGTCATGCCACAAACGCAGATTAAAGCAACACCAAGACTCCATTTACCTCAGAAAGAACGGGCAACATCAAGAAATCAAATAACAACAAGAGCTGGAGAGGCTTGGGCTGGGGGAAGGAATGCTTCTATATTATTGGGGGGAGTGTAAACTAGTACAACCTCTATGGAAATCAGTACAAACAGTCCTCAAAAAACTAAAACTAGAAATCCCATTCCACGCAGCTGTTCCCCTTCTGGGCATCTTCTGAAAAGATTTAAGGACCCCATGTGCTATGCCCATGCTTCTAGCAGCACAACTCATAGCAGCTACATCTTGGAAGTGGCCTCTATGTCCACCCACAAATGACTGGATAAAGACAGCATGGTGTTTATACGCAGCGGAGTAATACTCGGCTGTGAACAGGGATAAACTTGAGTCATCTGCAGGAAATGTATGCGCCTTGAAACAAGTTTCAATATCACATGGTTGCTCTTATATGAGAAACCCAAACTATAAATTTAAAAAGCAAAATGAAAGGTAGATACTAGGAACAGGGAGATGGGTACCGTTCAGATGGGAAGGGGCTCGAGCAACGAGCAACGGAGGGAGTGGGAGGGAGGTGGGGAAGAATTCAGATGTGTTACGCACGTGTATCCACTCACGTACCAATGAACGTAGTCACTGTGCTGCAATCATTTACTAACAAAAAAAATTTAAACAAAGCTTTTCCGATGTTCAGGCTCAGCAAAGCACAAGGGGGCAACACTGACCCCCTGGCGTGAAGCCGGCAAGTGCCAGCAAGCACCCTCGAGGGCCTCCTGCAGGTGGGCCACACTCGTGACCAGGGCCGGGCGCCATTTGCCTCTGGCTCTCCTAATTGTTGTCCAGGAAGTTTTCTTTCCCTCCTCATCTGCCCTTTTCCCTCTTTAGTTCCTGGAGTAACTGAGATTAATTTTAAAACACGACGCTTCCTCAGCACCGTCAGATCAAACAACATTCTTTGCTCCTCAGGGCCTTCTGAATAGTTTCCAAATACCACTGTTTGGAAAGGGGTAGAGATGTGCTCATGAAGACATCAGCTAGCTCGACTGCTCCATGGCAAAGCGGTGGCTCTCTTGATATTTAAGGAACACTTAAGGGAAATTATAGTTAAAAATGCAAATCCTTTTCTCTAGTACCTGTAGGCTTTTACTCTAATGATACTAAGGGCTATGATTAATGATAACATAAGAGTTAAAAGCCCCACTTTTGCACTTTATGGGCTATAATCAGTCAATCTTGGAATGTAGGGAGTACACATATACTCTATCCGGAGACTAAGAGAAACTTTTTCCCTCCTCTATTTCTTTACTACCTAGAGTCATGGTTTAAATCTGAAGTGTCCCCCAAAGCTCCAAGCACTGAAGGCTTCACCCCAATCAGCACTGTTCACAGGTGTGGACTGGAGAGGAGCCCAGGCCATGAGGGCTCTCAGCTCATCAGCGGGTCCATCAGAGGTGAGCGCCTAGCTGAGCTGGGACCCAGCAGGAGGAAGTGAGTCCCTAGAGGCAGTGCTGAAAGGTCCCTCCCTCCCTTCCTCCTTCTCCTTCTCCTTCTTCTCCTTCTCCTTCTCCTATTTCTCCTTTTCCTCCCCCTCCTCCTTTTTCTCTCCCTCCCCCTCTGTCTCCCGCTTCCCTGCCTGCCTGACACGAGGTGAGCAGCTCTCCTCTGCCTCACCTTACCGGACTTGGGGCCTATTGGCCACAAACTGAAAGGCAAAGTAACACTCTCCTCTTTACGTTGTGTGCATGTGTCAGGTATTTTGTCCCAGGAACACAAAGGCGACTAATGCAAACATGGGACCCTTACTTTTGTTTTCCTTTAGCGTATTCTACTCTTAAAGCAGTTCCACACCTTGACCACTCCCATCCCTGATACAGTCCTAAGAAACCCATGGCAGAATGGTCTAACATTAATTTCAGGATCAGGAAAGTGAAGTGTCCAGACAGGAGTGAAAGGACTGCACAGTCACACTGCTTGCAGGTGGCAGAACTGATGAGCCTTCTCCTGGGTGTCTGCACAGCCCCTGCCCTCTCCCGGCGCTGGCCTCACCGTAGGCCCAGACTGTGGCTGAGAGGGGATGGAACTGCGACTTATTCTCTACTGAAGGTTTGCTGGGTGGCTGGGGACACAGGTGGCATTGGGTAAGCTCTGCCCAAATGCCCTGATGACCCCAGGTCTGCAAGAAGTCCTCTCACCATCGTCATGCTTAACACATCTAAACTGGGTGCCTCTGAAGCTGGTCTCAGATCTTGGCAAATTTCAGAACACCAAAACTACCATTCAAAAGATAACTCCTTGCAAACAACGAGGAAACACATTCATAAAAGGCATTTTGCAGCAGGCTTCACATATAAAGCGTTCAACTTCACACATCTAACCCAACGATTTAATTGCAGCATTAAAGGAGGAGAAAAGCTGTGCCCACAGCAAACTGCGACAAATGGAGTTGAAGAGGCCGAGAAAATTAAGTTTCCATAATTTCTTAAAGGATTAAAATGCAATAAAGTATATACTGCATTGTAAGGAATTTAACCTGAGGGGAAACTGATTTATACTGAGAAAGGAAATACTTACAGAACTTCCGTTTCTGCATATTTTCTTAGGAGCATTTTCCAATTTGCAGGCCTTCAAGTAATCCGTCCAAACAAATTTATCTTTTCTCTGACCTAGAAAAGAGATAGATGACTCAAAACACCCACAAGATGAAGCCACAGGCATATTCATACATTGTTCTTCAGAATTCAGCCATAAACTCCACGTCCTTAGTAGACCACAGCAATGTACACTAAAATCTCCAAACTCTTTCAATACTTTATTAATGCATCAAGTCCAAAGCCGTGGAGTGTGGTTTCTTGTTGTGCGCACCATTGCCTACACATTTGTCATTTGCTGAGCCTTGGAGTTGGGATGCACGGTGGGAGTCTCACCTCCAATAAGGCTCTGCAGAATGAGCAGAGGATGAGATCAAACCCTGCACTGTCCCACTCTGGAGGGAGCACATCACATGCCGTGAGAGTTCCTGCTGCTGCTGCTGCTGCTGCCATCCGGGATGCCAGGCCCTAGGGGATGACAGGAGCCCTCCCCAGCCCAAGTGCTGTAGACAGCTGAACATAACACCTAAACGAAGGAGCCTGTAGCCTGCCACCAGCTTCCATGAAATCCTGCATCTCCCAAGGGACACCTGGAGGCTGATTACTGAGAATCAAACAACCATATGCTGACTCCAACAGCACCAGGCACCCCAGGCAGGGGAAGCACACAGAGGTCGGCTGTGTAAAGACAGTGGCCCATGTGCTCTTGTTGAACACACCCTCAGTCACCTGCACAAAGCAAATTAAAAAAAGGGCTTCCATCCCTCCATCCAGGAGTAGCTCCTCTGGCATATAACACAAGCAGGGATGAGACTGTAATTCTCATTGAAAGAAACCCAACGGTGGAATATTTTTATAGTTCCATCTATTCCCTGATTCCCAGTTGTGCAACATTACTTACAGAGGATGAGGGGTCCTGAGTGCACACCATTGGCATAGGGGATCTTTCACGTCAATCATGACTTACAAGTTAGTTGTTATTGCCTACATGACTTGATGAACTTTATGTATAGTAGATGCTGCTGTAATATCTTCTTTCTGTCTGATTTACCTTAATAGAATATTTGACCTAAACTGTCACAGATGTTTTTTTTTTAAAGATCCTTATTTCCAAAGATGGCATCATCGTTCTTACTTCTCTGTGTGGATCAAACTTTCACTTTGGAAATCAATTCACAATAGGCTATCTGTTAGTATCTTGTGAAATGTTGCTTTAAAAATCTGAAGTAACAGGTGGCTCTCTCTCCAGGTGCTAAGTGTACCCAGGCTTACCCTTAGGGATGTGCAAGTCATGCTTGGTCTTTTCACCCTATGGCATGAATGTCAGGAGAGCCAGAATTGCTCCAAAAGTCACAGCAGTTCAGATAACCATCAAAAGCCACACACCTGCAGCATGAAAAGTTTACAGTTGTTCACTAAGTGGTGTATGCTCAAAGCAGACACAAAATTCAAATGCTTTGTTGGTGCCATTAATATATAAGAACCCACTGTCCCATCCAAATGAGTTCACTGAAGAAGAAATTTATATATGACATCTGATTATAACAGAATGGCAATGAGGTGGAGACTGTACCCACACCCTTCTGGAAAAATATATGCTTCTGTCCAATCTAGGAATCTGAGGTTGATTTACATATTTTAATTGGCTAGTTTATTTATTAATTCAAAACCTGTCCAATACTACTTTCAGAAACCCTATCCCCTGCTGTCTGATGTGGATTCATATTTCAAGACAGTGTAAGCTAAAACAAAACAATTACAGTCTTGCTTCCACTCTAACACGTGAATCCTGCAAACCCAATAACGGAAATGATAAAACAGTTTGAGAAATCCATACTATTGACAAGTTGTTCAAGTTTAATAGCTACAATCAATCAAGCAAAGTAAATGAATGTGACTTCTAGTTCAATGCTATTAGAAATATAGATGTCTTTTATTGATTGAATAATATGTTCAGTAAACATTACATTTCATAAGCCATTTACTTTCATCAATGGCTCTTTACCATATGTTATTTCCCTAATAAGCATGTATCTATATAAACACATAATTCATATGCTTGAATATTATTCATATACACTTCTCATTAGTTGAACTAAAATATGAATAATTATGACTCCATTAACAGGCAAAAACAGCATTGTAGGATTCATGGGTTGTTATCCACATTAGGTGAAAGTCATTTACAAATCAAATCAACAATAATGCTGGTTGATGATTTAGTAGAAAAGTTCAATTTCAGAGAAGGAAAAACATTCATTAAGAAGCATATTTTCACCCATCACTGACTTAAAAAGAATCCATAATACACTGGAACTTGCTCATAATAGAAAGTAATCCAATTTTCTTTTCTCTAGAAAATTCTGTCACCTTGCAATTAGCCCAAGCGAATAACATGACCTCTTACCTCAGCTATAGAAAGCACACAGAATACAGATGGTGGTGCAGGTCATGCCCTCTGACTTCTTTCCAATCTGAAAACCATCTGCATGCTTTGGGAGGGACTGCTCCTAAGAAATTTCACTATACAGCGTTAGCCATTGAAATGTCTTCTCGACGGCATGTAAAATACTTGGTGCCCCTGACATGTGGTCTCTCAAACAACAGAACTCCTACAGGAGTGTGGCGGTATGCTTACCAGAGACTGGAGGGCAAGGGCATTGGCTAATGTTGGTCAAAGGGGACAAAGTTGCAGTCAGACAGGAGGAATAAATCGTAAGTATTAAGGTGGAGGATTGGGAAATTAGACTGATTTGCTCATTCAGCGCTGTGGAATACATCATATCATCGCTGTCTACCACACAATTATATAAAATTATAATCTGTCAAAAAATGAAAGCAAAAAGATTTTAAATAACTTACTACATAGTTTGCAAGCTCAGTAATACAGTTAAAGATAAAAGGCTGCTCTTACATGTAACTGACCCTAAGATATGACTTACATATTTTAATACACTTTGAAACAGTTCTTCTGTGAAGCTAAATGTCCTGTCGACTTCTCAGTCCTTTTGTCCATTCTTCCTGTCTGCACTCTGCATAACAACAGCTTGCTGACTGTGTGCATTACTTAATCTCACTCTGGGACTTGGCTCTTCCACTTCTGCTGGGACTTTGTTTTGAGGAAACTTCATTTCAATCAGTAAAACACATTTCCTGTGAGTGTGCACACTCAACCTATGAAACTCTGCCTACCTCTGAAGTGATATAGACATTCTCTGCTTTTTAAAACTATTCAAGTTTTGTTCTTAGTATTTAGATCTATAGTAAAACTGGAATTTTGTTGTCTATGGTGTGAGGTAGGCCTCTTCTTTCCATATGGAAAGTAATTTTTCAAAAAGTGGTTTTTGAATCATCTGTACTTGAACTGAACTACAAAGGTGCCTCTGCGGTTCCTGCTACCTACACATTTGTGGGTCTCTTTCTGTTCCCTCTATTCCACTTCATTGACCTATTTACCTATTACTCACAGTCTTGTTTGTGGCTGGAGTCTGCCAATTTGGATTAAACCTCACCACACCAAGGTTTCCAACTCATGCGTTTGTTCTTTCTCCCTGGAATCTAATCAATTTTATTTGCTGAGGTTGATTCTCAATTTTCACATAGATTTCCAAAATATTGTATTACATTTATTAATGGGTACTTCTTAATTTTTTTTATTTTAAAGATAAAAGAAATAAAACTATTAACAGGCACACAGACATTTACAAAATAATGCAAAAACAATACAAGCAATATATATTTTCAGACTAGATGATAAGAAATTAACAATGGTGGCTGTACTACATATTGATATGTTCAAATTGGTTACTCAGATAAACAAATATAGGTATGTAAGATTGATCAAGGAATTAGGCATTAACTGTTCCTTTTGACACAGTAATAGAAGTCAGTAGTACAGCTATCTTAGCTATCCTGTGTATACCCATATACATATTTTCCCTTATTTCTTTCTTTTCTCTTTTCCTTCATCCAAGTTATTCCTTCCTTTGAGCAGTTGCTTTCCCTTTCATAATATCTATTGTAACTTTTAGATTTTATTCACTTTTTCAGGTTCTTACACTAGTTTAATGCTTCTGGATATTGCAAGTAGAATTTTTCACAGAAGACTTCCTAATTTCTCACATTCTCACATTTTGTTTAATACAGGTACTCCCACAACCTTGCTGAATTATCACGGTTTTGAGCAGAAAATTTTGAGAAGATTCAGTATTACCAGTCAATTCATTCGTAAATGCAAATATACCAAAGAAAAATGATGAAAAGCATTCAAATTGATTTGACCTACAGTTGCATTTGAACCACTAATTGTATTACCCTCTAATACTGCTTAACATATGAATGTTAATTTTCAGATTTCATTAAATAATGTTAAACTTAAAGAAAACTTTAAAAAAACGCTGCAAGAACAAAATGGTGCAGGGGAGAACTGCACATCCTTTGCTTAGATTTATTTACTGCTAACATTTTTCCTCTTTTGTTTTATCACTGGGTTCCCCATATGTGTGTGTGTACACATGGATATACAGATGAAATATAGAGATGATATAGACATAGAGAGGGACAATATAGATCTATTTTTCTGGACCATTTGAGGGCCCTTACTCCTAAAAACTAAATTTTTCCCTAGAACAGGATGGAACATCTTCTAACATTACCACAGCTTAGTTTCAACTTCTACAAGTTTAAATTTTATATAACGCTTGTAACTAATCTTCCGTCACATTCCATTTTCGTCCATTTTCCCAACAACATGGTTTACAACAATAGAACAGCAGCTGTCCAGGGTCAGATATTGTAATTAGTTAGCAAACCTCCTCAGTCTTCCTTCACTGGGAACATGTTCCATTACCACATCTTTGTCTTTCAGTCACTGACATTTCTTAAAAGAATACATTCCTTTCCCTTCTTTAATTTTTTCAACTAAATATTGTCTTCCTCCTTCAACAGCTGTCTGATCCTTCCTCATGATTAACATATATTCATTCCATCCAGAGGTGTGGGATGCGATCCTTCCCTCCCTGGAAAGGCTGATCACTCAATCACAGTGTTGGCCAATTTCTTCACTATATAGCTGCACACAAACTGCACACACACACATATGCACACACATACACGCACACATGGTTTTGTAAATCATAAGTTCAAGCAGATGAGTGCTATTCCGATTGATCTCCACGAGGATTCTGCTGCTATCCTGTCCCCTCTGACTTCTCCTCAGACAAGGGAGGCCATCTGCTCCTTGCAAAGCCTTAGGTCGTCTCAGAACCTCAAGACCAGCTCATCCACAGCACCGCAATAAAGAGACCTCCAGAGAAGCTGAGAACAGCTTTCCTCCCCAGCATCCGAAAAGGAGGAATGCGGCTGAGCCTGTGCACGTGGACTATGTGGATTCCGTTTTTCTTTGTTTTGGTGCTGTTGTGATATTTAATTGGAATGTATTTGTTTCAATTTGCTTTCGGTTCTTAATAATTTATTACGTGCAGTAACAGCATGCTTTCAAAAGTTAAATTCTACCAGAAGGTGCTCACAGATGTGTCTCTGCCTCCCCAAGCCCTACCCACCCTTCTCCCCCAGCCTCTCTTAAAGGTAACCCGTTTCACTGTTTCCGGGTTTATTGTTCCTGACATTCTTTTTGCAAAGCCGTTATAGGTATCATTTTCTTCTCTCTTTCTCCCCTTCTCTCTTCTTTTTTCTTTTTGTTTTTTTTGCCGGTACTGGGAATCAAACTCACGACCTTGCACTTGCCAGGTAGGCGCTGTGCCGCTGAGCTAAATCCCCAGCCCCTTTTTCTTTCTTCTTTCTTCATTTTTATATCTTTAAAATTGGTACCCTTGCAGCACATAATGTCTGCGTCTCTGTTAGGGAGCAGGAACATGCACCTGACACATCTGATTTCCTTTCTTCCCCTTCCGTCCTCTCTGGGCCTCCTCACTGCATCTCAGGAGCCCCCTCCTATTTGAAAGGATCTGTCTCTCTGTTTCTTATTGCCTATCTTTTATTTTTTTATTTATTTATAGGTGGAGCATCTCCCATGGGAGAAGTGATACAGTGTCTAAGCTTGCATGTTCGCTGTGTCTTACGCAGTGTGTTCATCATTTTCCCTCCATGCTTGCGCAAAAGGCAGTACCCTGTAGGTCTGCTGGACTCTGCCCTGCGCCCCGCCCCCCTTTTCCTCTACTGTGCATGCGGCCCTCACCACTCTAGCGCCTCTTTCTACACTCGGATCCACACCTTCTCTGCATGAACATCGAGCCATTTGAAAACCTTTATGAACTGGCTGGCAAAATGTTGATGTTGTCAAAGTCTGTCTTACATTCACAGATTACTTTGGAAGCTTCCAAGGAAAATCTTAGATGACAACACCCACAAATGGAATGGCAAGAACAAATGATTTCTCGGGGACACTTTATTTTTCCAAAAATAAATGTCATGTATGTGTTTAACTCTCCCAGCCTCCTCTTCACATCTACTTTGTTCTCCAGTAAATTGGCTGTAACACATTTTGTGTGCCTACCTCCTGCTCACTGCCTTGAAATTTCTCCTAACTCCAAACTGCACGTGTGCACATACACACTCTCAGGAACCTGGTACAGAGCATCTGAGTGTGCACACAGGTCAAGACATAGCAGGGCTGTGGCCTCCTGTGCAGAGAGTGAGTGAAGAAGCTGTAGAAATGGACCCAACACAGGCCAGGCTCTCACGAAATAGAAAGTCACAGAGTGAGGGTCAGGAGGCAGCAGCATTACCTTGTGTACAGCTCCGTACCTAACCATGTGCAATTCCTGCAGCCGAAGTGCTGGTGATAATTCACAGCCAGGTGCATCGAGGTCCAGGTGGTTGCGGTCAAAGTTGTGGAACACTTTGTCACCTGAAATCAGGGGAACTGTCTATACTGTCCCAAGTGACACTGTGGGGCTAGGAGACACAGCATGCCTTGGGGGGCTTCAAACGGAAAATAAAATGTTCATTTTAACAACCCAAAAGAGAACATTTAGTGAGAAATATCGCTGTCTTTCATCAGTCTCTTTTCCGGTACATGGTTTATTCATGATATGACAAATTGAAAAAATTTGTCCTCTCCAAAAATCTTATATTTTATGGACAAAATGGATAGCTGTGTTTATAAAACTATATTTTATGAGAAAAAAAAAAACTAGAATGACACAGCTAAAGCAAACAATAAAGTCCACTAAATTCAGTTATTAAAAAATCCTAACATTAGTAGATCTGACAAAAACATTTATAGATGAATAACTACCTGGCCAGTGTGGGGAGGAGAACTTCTCAAGGTCACACAGTGAGGTTAGTAGCAGAATGTAACTAAGACACAGGTTTTGAAAGACTGCCAACTGTTTGTTCCGTAAGGGGACAGAGCTGGCAACAAAACCTGGCCCGAGGCCACTAAGGCCTCAAGGACATTTCCAAAGAGCTGCCGCGTGTTCCTGAGCTCAGAACACAAGGTGTTTCCCTTTGCTGTTTTCTTTTCCCAGAACGGTCACAAAATAACATTTTCTGGTATGAAACTGCTTTAGTTTGTCACTAACGATGGAGAAGCAGCGGTGTTCAAAGCTCCATCCTCACCGCAAAAGCAGGAACAAATTATAAGCTATTATTTTAAAAGCTTGCAAAATGAGCCATGGCGGAGTGCGGGGGCGGGGGGAACGAGGGGTAACAGCCGTCAGTACAGCATGTGTGTGGCGGCTGACCTGTGCACTGTGGACGCACAGATCCACCAGGTGCAATATGCACAGCTCCTGGGTGCTCCATGGGTGTGTGTAAGGACGTTCTGGGCAATGCTCTTTGTCCCCAAGAGCCCTGCAATGATAGCAGAGGATGGCACTTTGCTGTGATCATTGTGTGAGGCACTCCGGGCCGGGCAAGGTGGGTTAGCCCAGCAGAGCTGCTGAGCAAATGCACGATCCCACCTGAACTCCGGCAACATTCTGCTTTATTCAAGGGAAGTGCCGCAATCCACACTTGCCTGGCCCTAATTCAGTGTTCAAAGAAGTGCGGGAGGCTGAGCGTGCACACAGGTCAAGACAGCAAGCATATGAAGGCAAAGCACAGGACCCTGGGCCTGAATCCCAAACTGTACCGGGGCCTGTCAGAGGTGATGAGATTCACAGGCATTCTGTACGCAGATGGAGCCAAACCGAATGTATTAGTACAACACCAAGGGTGCTGGCCACTGGTTCGGCAGGCTGCTCAAAGGCATCCCCCACATCTTCAACTGTCCTGTCGAGTCTCCAGGGCTGGAATGTCACAACTCTAAGTGTGAAGAGTGAGATTCCGGGGTCTTGCATAGGCACCTGGTGAGATGAGTCGCGGGCAACAACTGTAGTGGGGAGACACCACTTTTTCATTAGCAGGAATAAAGAATGAGAAGCAACACAGGGACAGAGCGCCCCTCGATGAAGCCACAGATAGAGATGCCTTGTGTCCAACGAACGCCGGCCGAGCGCTTAACTCGGGGCCAGACTGCTCTCAGCACGTCTTGGATATGAGCACATCCGATCTTCACAAAACCCCTGTGGAGCCTGGTGATTATGCGCGTTTTACAGACCGTGTGTATGGCCGAGGCCACACTGCAAGCACAGCTGCCGTTAATGCAGTCACCCGGCCAAGTTGCTGCTGGAAGTCACAAGCCACATGGGCCTCCTCAGACTAAACACCACATGCATAATATTTAAATCTTTATTCTGTAATTAAAATAAAGAAATCCTTAAAGATCTAAAGTTGGCAATAGAGTGTATGCTATGTATACAGCCATTAAATGACCCCCGGGTACTGAAAGTTTAAAGCAATGTGGTGGAGAGTCTAAGAAAGACTTGTACGAGGGTCGATTGAATATATAATAAAGGTACCATTGTAGATGGTAGATCAAAGTTAAGCGGTGCAAGGCCGCGAGACTATGCATTTGGGAATCTAGTTCAACTAGATTCCCACCACAACAGTATAAAACACATAGACGCTGCATGGAGAGCAAGTACGTGTGTCACAGTGGGATCAACACAGCTATTAAAAATGCAGGCCACAGAGATGGGTCAGACGAGATGGTGTGACAGCGCTGAAATATGAAACAAGTACTAGATGTATTTTCACTTTTTGTTTTCAGAAGCTACTTACATGAACATTATTTACCCGTCTGCAGAACTGCTGTGTATAGAAAGATCCAGGTCGAAATGAGTGATTCAGTTAGAGAGAAGAACTCACAAAGAAAAAAAAAAACCTTCATTTTTATATTCTTCTGTCTCATTAGAACTTTTGAATGGATCTGCAATTTTCAAAAGATCAACACTCACGCACACACACACACACAATCAGGCGACAGTGTTGCGAGGTGACTCGGTAGGGTGCAGGCCATCAGAGGCCTTGTGGGTCCTGCTAAGGAATTTCAATTTACTGTTAGTTGATGAAGCATCAGCAAAAGACTTCAGGCAGTGAGAGGAAAGAACCATTCCTGTACTTGAGGCAAATCTTGGTCCCGGCAGTGTGAAGAGTTAATAGAAAAGTACCAACACCACCAGTGGGGTGATGACCCCTAGTACCTACCAAAAGTAGAGCACTCACCACGTGTCACATGCAGAGTCTCACCCAGCACACAGAGCTCCAGAGACCCTGATTCGGAATGACTGCAAAACTCCTTCCACACATGGGGAGAGTGAGGCTCAGAGTTATTCACACATTGATCCATTTGCACGGCTAGTCCACCCAAAACTTGGAATCCAAATTCTAACCCAGTGGGTGCACCACGGGGCATAGTAATACAAGATTCCAGACACGGTGATGGCTTTAACCCAGGACCAGAGCAGGGCAGGAGCTGGAAGTGGAGGGAAGGGCAGACTTGCTGTGTAGGGAGTAAAATAGGCCGTACTGAACGCTGGGCTGGGAAAAGAGAGAGAGGGAGGCAGGAAATTTTAAGATGCACCCAGGTTCTGAGTCTGGGAAACCTTCCAATTTTCTATAGTATGGTAATTTGTATTTTTACAGCATGAATCATATCTACTGATGCCTTCAAAGACTTTAGAGACAGCTCATGAAAGCTACTTTCACACAATGGGACACCCACTTTTCAGTTCCAACTGTCTGGTGTGTTCCTGTAGTGTGCCCTGGATGTCCACAATGAATCTTTTCATCATGAAAATCTACTTGTTCCTGGATGTGGGAAACTAGGAGAGGTTGTGGAACATCCTTGTCTTCCCTCGGTTAAAGGGGGCATGCTTCAAGAATCCTAGACCCCTTTTTCTGGATTTCTCGTGTTCTAATCACAGAAAACAAGGTAAACCTAAAAAATTCAAACACAAAGCACACATGTGTGCACACCCAGAGATACACAGGGCACATACTCATTCATAGACACAAACTTCTTTTTTCTATGCTTGTTCAAACTACACTTTGATGTAGCTGTCTTAACAGGAGGGTAGGGATGAATTCTTGATGTTTTTAAAGTTTCCAGAAACCTCCCAGGTTTTATATAAAATTGATATGCAAATAATTATAAGCATTTCACTAAGGATGTTAGCAATAGCTTTCACTAGCTGATCAACCATATATATGTATATGAGGACTTGAAGGAAATCTGGCGTTGGAAATCCACTGACCATGTATATATACATAAAGAGACTTCACTGACCAGAATGCAGTGGTCACCTCAGCTTCCCCTCACGGTTATCCAGGCCAGGCAGCAAGGCATGCCCTCAATTCTGCTTTTTTAACCAGAAAAATAATACCAATTTATCCCATTTATTCATTAGTTTTACAGGGAAAAATCATCACCTACAAAATGTACTGCAATTGTCCAGAAAGCTTCTGCTAAAATGGGAGTGAAAGTTTGGTGATTGTGTATTCCTAAACTCCCATGCTAGAACCACTTCCCTGTTATTGTGAATATTTTTTATATACTAATTCTGAACTCATAATCACTAGCTGTTGCCAAGATTATATTGAGAGGGACTGTACAAATAGAGAACATGATATTTGATGCTCAACAAAAGTATACTTTAATGAGTTAAGTTAATTTGATTCTTATTGGCTTTTGGTAAATCCATTCTGCTACAATCTCAGATGCAAAAATTCTCATTTCCTCAGACTCTACTGATAGTAACAAAGTTGGCTGCACAAAAACATTTTAATATGCATCCTCACCACGGACTGCACTAGAGTCAAAGAAATGCAAACACACACTGCTGGGTCCCGGCAACCTGAGAGGAATAGAGAGAAAGAACCCACACAGCACACAGCAAGACACCAGAGAGAGCGCCTTCCCTGACTTCGGAAGCTGTCTGGTTTCTCAATGACCATCACTGAACAGATTCCACCAATCTGCTGGTCTATGCCTAAAACAAACACAAACTTTTCCAAATGACTTAACCGTCCCAGAGAAAAAAGACAAGGACACTCCTGATGTAAATCCCCTCTCACTGAAGAGAAGACTCGTGTCAACCCTTGATTCTGAATGCTACCTTTTTCTTCCTTTAATTTGTCTTCCTTCTGAAGAGCTCTGTGCTCGATGTCCAGCTTCTGGCTGGCACTGCAGATAAGCAGCCCTTACAGAGGCTTCAAGCGCCTCCCAGGAACAAAACCACAGTTCTTATGAGCTGCAGACTCGGACCGCTATTTCCCCACAGCTACCCTTGGACTTCACACCACACCGTTTCAGAGAGCAGACACCAAGGACAGGGAAAGCATCTGAGCCACAGGGTCAGGCTGTGCGTCCACTCGCTCCCAGACTTCACAGCTTTGGAGACTGTGACAGATGAACTGAGTGGGAATTCTTTCTGCTTTAGAACCCCGGCGATGAATCAGTTGACCGACTGCATATCACAAGGCAACACGTTCTTTTTCATTAAATGAGCTCCATCAGCCTAGATTTGAACCTTGACTGAGAGCTGATATGATGCCACAATATTTTTTAAAATGTATTTTTTCTCTTCCAGAAAACATCAGTGAAGTAACCTTAACCCAAGGGTGACAAAATTCATATAGAAGACAAATGCAAGTAGATCATCAAACAAACATGTATGAAGATAGAAGCTGAGATTACAGTTCACTTCTAAGCAGGGCAGAGTACACAGGTGTCAGGTTAGGGTCTGCAAAGGATGCCATGTGGGGCCACCCCACAGCTGCTGATCTACACCTGCAGTGCCGCCCAAGAAGGATCTATACTAAATCCAGGACAGTGCTGTCGGTGGCTGTCATGTAATGTGGACACATGCTCCCAGAAAGAAGCAGGACACCCGACTGAACTGAGGGAGCTCCAGGTGTCCCAGGTGGTTTGTAGCTATAACAAGTTGGGATTTTCATGGGACCCTCTTTCTGTACCTGCAGCACTAAATACAAGCCAGGACATTGTCAGAGAGAAAACACACAGGCTGCTCAGATCTGACTCGGCAGAGAGGCACGTGTAGAAAAATTAGATTTTTAAAGATATAATTGAGACCTGGGCAAAGGCGGCAAATGTACAAGGCAGAGGCCGCTCCTTTTGCTTAGATTTCAAGGAAGGCAGACACAGGTAAGGGGAATGTGCCCGTACAAGGCTGCCGCCTGCCCACTGCAATCAGAAGGCTGAGTCCGGAAGGGGTCAGTGCCTCCCCGAATAAGTACAACCCAGTTTTCCTAGAGGAGGCTGGAGTCTCCTCGGGAGCATACACGTATTTCCTTCACAAATCATACTAGATTATAATGGCTTTTTGGAGGGGAAGAGGGACAGGACACAGGGCAGGGGTAAACAGAGAAACGCCAGTATGTACAACCCTTCTCATCTAGGGGAGGAAGGGGTCAGAGGAGGAGCTGGTTCTGCCCCATCATTAGAGTCTGGTTCTTCGCAAAGTCCCTCCACGGGTGATGATCTGCGGCTTCCAGGTAGGAGGTTTGGGAACCAGAGAGGGCAGCGGCGAGCTCTCCATAAACAGGAGGAGAGGAGCCAGGACCAGAGGGGAAGGAAGGGAAGGAAAGAGAGGAGCCCCGAGTCTCCAGGGAGGTGACGGCGCCCGGGGAGACAGACACACAGGCAGTCGCCACCCAGAGCCGTGTGAGGAGACACCAGGGCTTTGGCTACTGTTTATGTGGAGACGAATCCAGGCTTTGTCCTAAATGAAGGCAGAGGTGGTGGCAGCTGAGAACAGCAGCGGAAAGATTAGGGGACAGAATGCGCACAGAAGAGGTGAATTTATGGAGCAACCAGAGAGGAGATGGGAGTGGCTGGGACAAGCAGGACGCATGGCCCAGAGTGGGTGGGCCCGGGCGAAAGAGCAGACCACCAGGCCCAGGTGCGGGTGCTCATGTGTGACTGTGACATCCCGGAGGTCATCTCTGAAGGACAGTTTGGGGCACTGGCGAGAACAGGCCTGAGCTGCAGAATGGGAGGTGGAAAGAAGGTTAGAAGGCTCAGGAAAAGAGAACCTGAGGTCGCAAATTTCAGGGTGCTGCGTGGGCTCAGGCGATGACGCCAGAAAGGAAACGCAAAACCTAGGGCAGTATTAGCTCCAAAAGCAGGAGCAAACCCAGGCCCAGCTGTGAGAGGAGGTGCGGATGGCTAGGCTGCAGCTGGGGCGGGGCAGTTGGTGGGGTAGGAGCTGTGGGAAAGCCCAGCCCTTCCAGTGGGCAAGAGGTGCGGCAGGGCTGCTGAGGCACAGCCTGCAGAGGCGGGAGGTCCCAGGGACATCAAGATTCTGCTGAGACCCCAGTGCTGCCTTCCCAGGATCAGGAGAGACCAGGCTGGGCTACCCACTGAGGCTGGGGCTGCACCACCCACAAGACCAAGCGGCTCGTGTGTAGCAGTGAATGGCGTGCGGGGAGCAGGATTTATCCAGAGCAGGACCAAGCAGCATGGATGTGAAGATGACAGGGTGACAAGGGCACTGAGGAGCCCCACAAGCGAACGGCTGAACTGAGGGACCAGGGCAGGGGGACAGAAAGAGCAAAGCTTGGTGCTCTGAGGACGTGAGAGACACAGCACAGAGTGGACAAGGAGTCCACAGCTGAGCAGGCGGAGGAGATTCGAGTGGGTCTTGCACAGAGCAGCCAGAGGACACACAGGGGCACACGGGCAGACGTCAAGGAGTGGACAGGCTGTACCATGGGCAAAGAACCCTCCAGAATGGGAAGGCAGCTGGGGAGGGTGGAGATGGGGCAGAGGAGGGAGCACGTGGGTGGTGTGATCAGACAGACACACACTCTGGAGCTAAGAAGCCACCAGAAGGGACAGTGAAGCAATTAAGAAGGCGACACAGTGAGGGACACTCCCTGGAAGAGAGATGCTCAGGGTGAGGGACTCTCCCAGTACTGCAAGGCCAACATCCCTATACACAGAACCAATCAGAAACTTGCTGTTTTTAATCCTTTTATTTGCATCAGATGGTGTTCAAAGGACCAATCAGAAGATGCTCTTTTTAATCCTTCATTTGCATGTGGGCACAGCCAATCAAAAGACTGTCCCTGCTCCTTCATTTACATACAACAGGAAGCCAGACTTTCCAACAGGACAGTTTACTGCGATGTCCAAGGCCACGTGAGTGTCGGGTAGGACCCCTGTCCCGAGCCTTTATTTGTGTGAGAGAGAGATAACACAGCATTTAGATAGAAAAGGCCCTTTCCCTGGTCCTCAGGGCTACCTAACTAAACTAGAAGAGCTACGTAAAGAAGTTCAAGAGAGTTTTGACTCCTACCATAATGGCTTTTATTTTGTTCTGAAACATCAAGTGCTTTAAAAACTGTAGAAACCACTGCTTTGCCAGGGCCTGGCTCCGTCTTTAGCTTGTCTTCCAACCCTGGCTGGCCGGAAGAGTGCTCTGCCTGGGCATGAGAAGCAGAGCTGGCCTTCGAGGCCACAACTGAAGACAACAGGGATGAGTGGTGTGGTGAGACGGGACTGTCACCGCGGGGCAGCAGAGCTGGGGCCGCCGTGTGCCAGGTTCATGGTGCGCAGGGCTCTGTGGCTGGCACAGGCGGAGGCCTAGGGTCTGCTCAGGACCAGACACAGAGGCTGCCCCCGTCTCTCCACCACCAGTGGGAATCAGGCAGGTGCAGGGCCAAGCGCACAGATGTGGCAGTCCAGAACGGAGCGAGCAGGTGCCTGGGACTTGTGGAAGGCCAGAGTCTCTGGGAGAACACAGACCTCCGAGGCTTGGAAAGGAGAAACCCGAGAGGCTTCAAGCCTGGTAGACTAAGCAGTGACACAGGTGCCAGTGCCCGAGACAGCCTAGCCTGCCCGGAAGCAGCAGCGGACCACAGAGGCCATGGGGCCATGGGGACAGCCCGACTTGGGGTGGCGGGCACCAAGGGAGAACAAGCTCAAGGGAGGTGGGTGTGACTGCGAAGGTGCCGGGACAGGCAGGGTGACGGAGAAAAGCTTCTCACTCCAACCTCAAAACAAAGGAGAAGCCAATGTCTTAAACTTCAGATCAAATCCAGTTAGGCACATCTCAGTGGGGAAGAACAGAAAAACGGTTTTAAACTTGCTGTCAACAGAAGGTGTTTTTATCTTTGTGGGCTCATTACCCCAAAATAAACTATTATAAAGTATAAAACACCTGACTTGGCCTTTTACAAAAGGACATTTAAAATAGATGTGCAGGTGTAAAAAACTTTGAGTGTAAATAACATAGGCACACTCTCCTAAAAACAATATGCACGATTTGCTTGTTGGATTATGTATCTGCTTGGCATGATGGAGCTGAGTGTGTGTGCGGCTTTGGTACATCTTCCAAAACTCAAATATTAGGATGGAAACTACATCCTAAAAGTAAAATTCCACTTACTGTCTTTGGAATAGTTTTCCACTCAAGATAGGCAAAGTATTTTAAGTTTTATTTTCAACACTTGAGTGTGAAGGTCGGGCGTGTTCCCTCCTAGTGGCAGATCTCAACAACAGTATGACAACGTTTGTGCAGTGGAAAGGAACACTGGTTGACGGACCTGGGAGGATCTCACAGGAGAAACTCCGAGAAGAATGTGACTGCACGGTCAGGCTGGGTGACGGAATGTGGGACCCACACAGAGGATCCACAGAGTCAGTGTAAGACTGAGCTCAGTCTGATGCTCCTTCTTGGAAGACTGGCATGAGCCATCTGCCTTTTTCATATCAATGAAACTTACTTTCAATTATATACCATGCTTATTTCATTTGAAAATATAAATGTCAAGTTGGAGGAACATTGTATCTTGAATGCAGGCATCTTCTCTGGTCATTAGGAGAGATCAGACATAGTAATTGGGGAGCTTAGTACTTCTCTTCATTCCGGGTCAGGTGGGGTTTTGTCTCAGGCCTGGAGCGCCTGGAGAACTCATTATGTGTGCATTCCACTGCTGGTTAACATTCCCCTCACACGCCGCTGTGGTTTTATGGGCATATCTTATGTCCTAATGAGACTGCAGGATTCTAAGAACCCTTATTAAAGAGTTGTAAACTTCTTATTATTTCAGTCCACCCACACATCACTTGTGCACACAGAGCCTTAAAAACACAAGCAGACTAGAGGGGAATAGAAAGGCAGCCATCATGTCAAATGGATCTGTGTCTAATGTACTAACACTTTGCTGTCACCTTCAGAGCTGACAGATATCAAAGTTCACTCGTTTTACAGCTGCATTATTAGCCAGGGAATCATGAAAGAGCACATCCTATGCTCATTGCCTGGTTCCACTCAACAGAGTCTCTCCGACCCTGTGTGCCCCACTGGGACATCCACCTGTCCTCACGGGCCACACGATCGTCTTCCCTTCACTATGTGCTTCCCAGCATCTCTCTGTCCTGTCTCTCAAAGTCAAAGGGGCAGAGCTCTGTGACCCACAGCTATAACCTCACACTTCCCAACAGTGCTGTGAGGATTTATCTCAGGGGCTCCTGGTGTGGGTTTTTGTTTGTTACTCACACAAGAGCATGGAGGAAAACATGGAGGAGAAACTCAGTCCTGCAACCATTCTCGCAGCGGTTGATGGACCTTGGAGGATCTCGCGGGAGAAACTCTGAGAAGAATGTGACTGCACGGGCAGGCTGGGTGACAGAATGCAGGACTCACACACAGGATCCAGCACTTTGCCGAAGTGCCAGAGACCGCCTTGCTCTACAAACCAGCCTCACTTCATCCCAATACCCAACAGCTGATACCATCCTGGGGGCACAAAGACAGGACCCTTGCCCTAGGATGCTGACGTAGGTGAGGAGAGTCCACAGGTCTTGCTCCTAAGGTATAACACGCTTCAGTTACAATTGGCTCCATGGAAGCTCCACTTCAATCCCTACTCCTGTTCGTGGCTTCTGAAAGCCTCAGACCTTGGATGGTGGTGCAGTCAGGCTGGTGTCTTCTGGGTCATCCTCCGATTGTGGACCTGAGCCAGGCTGCACTTACCCTCAAGGGCCATGGCCCAGTCCATCTCCTGACCTGCAGCAGCTCTGCAGCAAGGACACAGGATGGTCACAGCATAAGGGGGAAAGGCGGCTGTGAATTAGGTCCATGCCAACTCTCTGAAAAGATCTTCTGCACTTGGAACACCAAGAGGCCTGCTAGACATCATTCACCGTGACTGATGGGTGCTCAACACAGAGGCACCGTGCAGAGACTCGGGAGAAGAGGAAGGAGTGCTCTCTTATGCTCACACACTTGTGGTGAGTGAGCACTTATGTCTCATCGGGTGACAGGAACACGGGGCGGGAGCAACCTGAATACGAGGCAGGAGCAGCATGGCTCTTGCCTATTCTAGGGCAGCAGTCCACAAACCCACACATGGAATGTCTGGTGGAGGCTCCTGGGCCACACGTTTGCAGGCCCAGAATGTTTCCTGAGGCTCTGACCTGGCAGATCTCAGGAAGAGCCAAGCGGCTCTGCTTTCCGGGGCTCCAGAAGAGCATCTCATGTGAAGAGTGGGCCAGGAACCTGTGCTCTCCCTGTTTCCACTTTCCACACCGCGGCCACCGTACTGCTCTGTTAGGGAAGCCGCTCGCCCAGGACACAAAAGAACATTCCATATTTCTGAACATAAGCTATGCCAGGACTTGGTATCCCTTCCTCTTCCTCTTTGCTATGTCTCTTCTCCTCAGTCTACTGCCACAGCTGCAGTTTCAAACATCAACCCTCACACACAATAACAAGCATTAGAGGCAACACAACAGGTGCTGTTGAAAGGTAAAGCAAATACGCAGCACTGGCTCCTTGCTGCGGACTAAAGTGCACTACAGGTACGTAAGTGTCAGGTGATTTTTCATATAAGTTTCTCCTGAAGCGGTATCAGTTCAGACCAGAAAGAATAGAAAGGACAACAAAAAATTTGATACCGTGGGTATAGTGATCCCCTACAGCCACGAGACTCCCCATGCCAATACTCCTTTGGTCAGTCATTGCTCTGTTTACCTTTTTGTTGGGTATTCCACAATGAGGGGAGGTTGGCGCCCCTCGCAACAGCTTACCTGAGCCACCACCTCGACACAGTGCATGAGAACTGCAACCTGGCACTTGGGTGGACACGTGCAAGTAGGACGAGCTGACAAAAATAAAGACTAACACTTAGCAATCATCTGTGTGCAGTTTGGACCCAATGCCTTTTACGTATCCTGCAGTAACCCACAGAGATGGGCAGGGTACTTTCTTTACAGATGAGGGAACTGAGGCACAGACAGGCTGGATGAGTACAGCTGGGCGTGGCAACGCTGGGCTCCAAACCCAGGCTCCAGCACACACCGAAACACGAAGGCTCTGGTCAGCTCTGCAAATTCAAGCCCAGCCTGCAAATTCAAACAAGTTGGTGGGCTATGCAGTCAAACAATTTCAGTATGGTTAAATCTCCTAAGTGTTTATTTCTTGCAAAAATATAGGACATTCCATGGCTGACCTTGGCAAACAGCTCCAGAGGTGCTCCTATCGCACTCTGTTCTTTCAGGTATTGCGTCCAAGACCCAGGGTCCTAGGCAGCCACCATAGGTGCTGCGAGAGAACACACAGCGACCTTTCTAGAAGCAATTCATGACAAGAAAATAATAAATTTCATTGAAGACAAACTTAAGAATCAGATTCATTAGGTCAATGAGTAGAAGACCCAGCAAGTGAGAAGATCCTTCTCCCTCACTTCCTCGACACAGGTGTAAACTCACCTGGCCGCTCCAACCCCACTCAGTCTGCCTGAGTAGGCCACGGGCACAGCCCACCCTCTTGTAGACGCCTGGCGAGTGCGTCCGGCAGGAGCCCTCCAAGAGGGTGGACAGGTACAGGTTTTCTGGGAAACTGTTTGATTAATTTAAAGAGAAATAGCCTGAAAAATTGTTGATACCTGTTCTTGGTGTGGATGACAACGGGTACAGCCCACTGAAGGGCAACATGGCAGTATTTGTCCAAAGCCTAAAACATTATTTCTATCATCAAACTAGAAATTCTTCTTCCAGGAAAGTTGTCTTCATGAAATCACAGTGGATGTGCCCACAGGGCAAACCACAGGGTTTTCCTGCTAGAACTCTGCATAATAATGAAACACCGGCAACAAACCAAAGGTCCGCCAAGGGGGAGTTAATTACATGCACTGCACAGACGTGTCATTTTGATAGCAGGCAGAAAACTACACTGTAGAAGACCGTCTATTGACAGAGAAAGTTTATGTTCATGACACACTGCTAAGCAGGGAATAAAGAAGTTAAGAAAGAAAATGATCCTTTTTGGTAAATATGTGTTGGATGTTTACAAGATTAAAATTATTTATATTAAAATCTTGAATGAATCACTTTTAGGTGCCGGGAATATAAATAATTTCTTCTCAGTGTTCTTCCTGCACTGTTTTTCTGCTTTCCAAATTTTCTAGAAGAATAGCTAATCACTGTAATTCAATAAAAGTGTCACTTTTAAATAATAAAAATCTAGCAAAAAGAATTAATAATTGCTTTTAACTCCTACATCCCAGGAACATCTCCAGAGTTACATGAAGAAGAACATCAGGCACAAGCGTACCTCAGTGACGATCACTCTGAGGGGATGAGCGCGGGGGCCCAGCACCGCTGTGCAGGGTGAGGGTGCTCGGTCCCTCCCGCACCCCTGCACCGATGCGAACCAGCACTAACGCGGGAGGAAGGTGAAATAAACCACAGCACGTAAACCCGTATGAGTCTGAGATCCCGAAATCTAAATTGCCTTTAAGAAAATTAATAATTGCCTTCGGAGTTGAATGGGTTATACAAAAATCTAAGGACACAAAGCAGCACACATCAGATGCTCTGTTGTGTCCCTACTTGTCTAAGTGAAACCTGAAATGAGCCAGGCTCAGAAAAGACAAGTATCACATCCCCTCACTTACACACGGAACCTGAAGAAGCCGAGCTCTCAGGAGCAGAGGGGCACAGACGGGCGCCAGAGGCTGAGGAGAGGGTGATGAGGTGTTTGTCAGGGGCACAACCTCTCACTTAGAAGGAAGGAACAGGTTCCAGAGATCGACTGTGTAACACGGGGACCACAGTGAATAGTGTATCGCAGGCTCCAAATTGCCAGAAGAATCCATTTTTAATGTGCACACTGCAAAAACAATGAAAAGTACTTAACATCATGGCTATGTGAATTAACTTGATTTAATCTCTCTATATAAACGCATATCAGCATATCTCATTGTATCCTATAAATGAATGCAACGATTGTCGGCCAACTTAGAGAAGAGGTCAGTACATGTAAAACACTGTATGTATGAAAATGTTCCCTTGTTCCCATATTTATAAAGCACCTTCTCTGTGCCAGCACTGGGCATGCATGTGTGTCCACACAGGCACACACGCTCTCACAGAAAAACAAAAGGCAAGGAGGAGCAAAGCAGTTCACCAAGCCTAGACCACGATGGTAGAATTAATGTAAAGACTCTTTCCATTTTATTACTTTGTAGATTTTTTAAATCCTCTACAAGTGTTCTTACTTAACCACACACCCCTCCCCATACATGCAGGGAGAAAAGAACTGGCCAAGAAGTGCTGAGTACTAATGCTAAGGCGATCTTGCTGCAAACTGACGGGAGACGTCCAGGCGGCCAAGGTCACGCACAGCAGCACCGGCAGTGGGAGGGGCTGCGAGTCTCCTCCAAGCCCCACGAGCTTCCACAAAACCACTGGCTGACGGGGTGACAAACGCAAACTCCACGGGCGGGAAAGGGATAATTTGTGGAGACTCTTACTCGTGAAAAAATATATTCTGATTTTTCTAGTATGCCCAGAGGAGTGTTGTCCATGGGATAAAACTATGTGCTGTCCTTCTTGTGGCGAATGACAAATAAGAAATGCGTATTATTTTCTCTTGGATAGCCATGTATATCACTGAGAACAAAAGAGTCATTGAAACTCAGGCAATAAAGAAAAACACGTCAATTTGTATTACTAAAAACCAACACCAAAGTATGGATGTTACCATTCACTCTTATTAAAAGCACTAATTAGTTATTGCTAATAAATCCGATACTAATGATGATAACTGTTGAGCACAAAGGAGTCATTAAAGGGTACCAACAGAACTGTCGTCAGGGGCTTTTTCCCACTCTGCCTGAGAACACTGTGACGTCACCCAGCGACTCCCTCAGTCAGTCGCCCACCCAGGGCAAGGCTGAGAGGCCGCTGCTCTTCCCGCACCTCCCAAAGATGTTTCCCGTTGCTGAGCCGAGAAAGCCACTCGGCAAACCCTGAAAGCGCTCTTGTAAAATTACTCAACGTCCTTATTTTCACACAGGCATTTTACTGCATTACAATTATGTGCTTTACAAAAAAAATAATAATAACAGTGGCATCGGCTGTAAAGCAAACATATCTCATCTTCTACAACAGCTGTGTTCTTAAAAAGACTGTGTAATTTCTCAATTTAATCATATTTCCCATTGTCACACATTATGATTTCACCAGAAGTAAATTATATCTTTTATGATTATATCAGTAGGCAAAGAACCTTTTAAGATTTATTATAAAAATACACAATATCAGGCAATAAGAACTTTCAATAAAATAACTATTTTAGCAAAGCAAGAGAATACGACTGGCTGGGGGAGGGGGGGCTGTAATCCCAGCTACTTGAGAGGCTGAGGCAGGAGAATCACAAGTTCCAGGCCACAAAATTTACAGAGACCCCTATTATAATTTAGAGACTCCTACCACAGAATTTAAAAACAATAAAATAAAATAAATAAGCAGGTAGGGATGAAGGCCAGTAATAGAGCACCCTTGGGTTTGACCCTAATACTGCAAAAATTTTTTTAAAATACAGATTACTCTGCAAAGCAGCTGGGGGAACCCAAGCTCCCCTGCACCCTCCACGAGGTCCTGACACTGACCCCAAAAGTCCATGTGCCCCTGTCTCTCCCATGTAGCTTCCTTATTTCCCACAGGGAGGACCTGAGCCACAGTCAACCGCTTCACTTGTTTTGCCTTAGAGTACCAGCCTCAGAAAGAAAGGGCTCTGTCGTTTTGCTGTTCTGCCCGTCCCCAGAGCCGAGATTCTGTCTGGCATAAATATTTGCTGAATGAATTAGAAGCAAGCAGGTGGGCAGCACAGCACCTGGGCCTTACAGATGTGTTCAAGGATATCTGCTTGGCCAACTCATTTCCCAGCTTCCTGGGGTGGCAGGAGCTGATTAGGACACCCCACTGCTTCCGCACTTTGTTACAGTTTCTTTGGCATACTGCAGATGTGGTATTCGTTTCATAGGTGCAACATTTTCAGCCCTGAATTCCATTTATTTTAACTATATTCATTGGCTATAGCAATATGTTCCAATTATTATTCTTTCTGCCAAACAATGTAGAATATATGTTTTATTATAAATGGTAATTACTTGTCACTTAATATATACCTAGTATAGGACAGGTACTGAACTAACCAGTTGGGGTATGTATGTGTACTGGTACACGTGTGAGTATGTATGTGAAAATGTGTGCATTTCTATTTATTCTTATTCTGCTTTTTGAGATAAGTCTTCCTACATAGTCCAGGCTGGCCCCAAACTCCTGGGCTCAAGTGATCCTCCTGCCTCAGCCTCATGAGGAACCAGGATTATAGAAGCGTGCCACAATACCCAGCTTCCTTTTATTCTTTACCACATTAAGTATTAGGTTAATGACTTAATGTTGTACTTACAGTTCTTATCCCAGGCACGCCTCTTGTATAATAATGCCTCACTTCAGCACACACAATTAAGATACATCAGGAATGCTAGAAACTGAGAACTTTTCAATGTAAATGCAGAGTAAAATTAAATCCGCAGGGCAATGAATAAGCTGACTTATGGAGAGCAGCTTTGTATACTTGATCAAAGCTTTTAAAAGTCAGGTTGGCAACATATGTTTCTGACCGAAAACAGGGTGTTAATATTCACTGATTTATTCACCCTACCTTTCATAGTTTATTCTAAAAATACAAAAATACAAATGTAAATGCAGCCTTTACAACAGCATGGACTGGGAAAACATCTAAATAACCAATAACAGGAGTCAAA